CCCCCCCCCCCCCCCGCGAAACCATTTTTTTTCTTGGCTGGAGGCGATTTTTTGCTACCAGCGGGTGAAGCTGATGGCCTGATTGTGCTAGTGTCACGTTTCCTATGCGGAGAATTGCTGCCGAACCGTTACATGTAGACTAACGCTGTATGTTTGATTGGGAGACGGTAAATCCCGGGGATGCGCGCAAGGTGCGTGTAGCTTGCGTGGACCTACCGTAGTGGTGCCGCAGGGACATGCCCTGTATGCCTATATGTCGGCCATCGAATCGCGTGGTACCGCTGCACCCGGACTTGAAGCCGCTGTTTCACCGGCAATACCGACCACGTTCCGTCCTGGCCCTATTGCTGTAGGGCTGGCTACATTGGCCGACCACTATGTGCTACTTATTGAATCTTCAGTTCCATGACAAACGCCATGCATGTTCTAAAGATAGTGGATTCAATCACGGTCACAAAAATACTGCCCGTTCGAGGTATAGACTGTGTTGAATTGAAATGTTTGCAGTGAGTCGGAGAAAAACCGTTACGCACCACAGCAGCGGGAAGACGTACCCTATTAGTACAAGGTGGCGTCCACCTTCGTTGATGTTGGCTTCTCCTGAAAGTTTCGATAAAATCCATCATGTCGTGGCGCTAGGGAGACGGGGCGTTCGACTTCTTGGCAGAGGAAGAGCGCGCCTCCAAGCACGCGAAGGGGCGGCTTGAACCCGGGTTCAACGAGCAGCAGATGGCGGTGCTCGAAGACACGGAGATGCTGGTGGGGCAAAGAGACGGCGAGATCAACAACATAGGTGGGGTTGATGTGACTTGGTTTTCTCCCAACAAGGTGGGGGGTCCTGTTTTGTGCCGGTGATCGCTGTAGTGCGGGTTGATATAGGTGAGATTGATGTGACTTGGTTTTGGACCGAGAAAGTGGGGGGTCCTGTTTAGTGCGGTTGAATGGTGCCTGTGTCCGCTATGAAGTGCCGGTTAATTCGGCTGTTGTACTTGATCACCGAGTCGTTCTGTGCTTTGAATAACAGTGACTCAAATCTCTGGACACGGATGTCCATTCCTCTCCTGTACCACTTTGCCCTTGTAGATGTCACGAATGGTGCCGGTGAATGGGCACATATCTACCGCCACTGATCAGGCCCCGCCACTGCTGTAGCACGTACGCAAGACTCGGGACACCCCAGGGGTGTTGTAGAATTTTCGAACGGGCCAATCAGATGGCGAGGTCACGGTTTAGTTTTGTAGTGACCCTGGTTTGGCGACAAGTGACGAGGGGAAAGTTTGAGGCATCTACTCGAACAGACTGTTCGATGTTGGACCCTGCCGCCCAGCCAAGTTTCTTTGGGCACACAAGGTTCTGTATGACCCGCAAGTCTGCCTGGTCGTCATGGGTTACGGTTCGAGAAGCGAAGCGAAACGTAGGGTTGTGGCGCAATATTTTTTCAATGGAGCTGAGTTCGTGGCGTGGGTCAGACAGCGCTGTTCTTCTCTCTGCCGCTGCTTTGTCTTTCGTCGGGTTTTTTTTCGGCAAGGGGGTGTGCAGAAAACGGCCTGTAACGGCTTGCGCAGAGGGACGCTCACGATTATGCGATCTATCATGCATGTAGCATCGATTGAGATTGTCGTGTATTGTGTGTATGTTATTTGTGTTTTGCTTTGAAAGATGTGGAGGACCTGCCGACGATCGATCGGTGGGATCCTAAAATGGTTGTTGTTATTCGTTGGCGCGTGTATCTTTGTTTGTTGCCGTTGCAGTGAAAAGTATCGAGGACCTATCGACGATCTTTAAGGAGCTGGCGGTGTTGGTTATCGACCAGGGCACTATCCTCGACCGGATCGACTTCAACATGGAACAGGTGGGGGTGCTCTTGCTGGTTTTCAGTTCCACGAGGTACTGGCGTCGTTCCTGCTGTTGCTGTTGTTGTTTTTTGATGTCGCTGTTCCTGTTGTTCCTGTTGTTGTTGCTGTTGTTTCTTTTTGATGTCGCTGTTCTTGCATGTAGGTGCGCACGTGGTGTTGGCGTTGTTCCTGCTGTTATTGGTGATGTTGCCGCTGGTATTGGTGGTGCCTCTGCTGGTGATGCTATCGTTGTTGTCGCCGTCGCCTTTGGTGCTTGTGGTGCTAGGCGAGAGTTACATTTTCAAAGAACCGACACCCCAGGAAGTGCGAGTTTCTCTCCCCGCTGTTGTATTGGTCACTCGGTCCTCCTTTCGCTACCGGCATCTTCTTACTACTCCGAACCTATTTCCCTGGATATGTTATCGGTTTGCGTCTTGCGCGTCTCTCGTGGGCCTTTTGTTTGATGTTCGTTGCGTGCGGTATGTCCTGAAAGTATACATGGTCCCACAGAAATACTACCTGTTCGAGATATTTCTCTTGTGTTGATCCTTTGTATACATTTCTTTTGTTTGGTCATTAGGTGGTGGAGCACACTCGCGAGGGGGTCTCCCAGCTGCAAAGAGCCGAGGAACACCAGAAGTCGGCGCTACCGCTCAAGTGCATCGGCATTCTCGTTGTCCTCATCATCATCATGTTGGGTCTCCTCGTGTGGAAACACTCGGACTAGAGTGAGGCGTTATTCTCCACCCCGGAGATGGTTAGCTAGTAGCCCCGGATTCGCATGCACGTACACTGCGTACCATTTTTCAGGGTTTTCGCCTTCCAACTGTGCGTCTAGCCATTCGTGTCATGCATGACTGTTCGGCTCCTTCTCTCGGGAAGACAGCTGTGAATGGCGGCAAGTGTTGTAGTAACAATATTTTGTTTCTGCTTGTTTGGTGTTCGCACGGCCGATGACCGACTGTGCTGAACAGCTGTCGAAAAACTGACGTTCGTATACGATGGGGAATGACTTATACATGCGGCGGTCGTATGAAATTTGAACCTCTTTGTACGCATTATCTGTTGGCATGTCTAGTCGCCCCTAGTCATCAACGCTCGTTCTCACGAGCATGCGATCGATACCCGTCAAACAACGGGCGTCTTGTGTATGTGTTCTACGCGGTCTGATTCTCGAAACGTAGGAAGGCGTGGAGCATACCGCATATAGTAGTAAAGAGGAAGCATATGTGATAAAGAGCTAGTTGCTCTGTCAGGCGCTCGCCATTTTGGCGTAGATCCTTGTGAGACCTTTCTCAGTGGCGTGATAGTGTAGCGCTACAGTTCTATCAAGTGTGTGACGTCATATCTTTGACCGGCCATAACTTTTCTCGCAGCGCGAACCCCGCGAAAAACTATGGCTCATTCGAACCCCCCTTGCGAGAGCTTTACAGTGGTTTTTTTTTTTTTTTTTTTCGATGGGCAACGCTTCTTTTTTTTTCAAACCACCCCAAAAAAACGACCCACTTGATAGAACTGTATAGTCTAAATAGTTAGAGGCCTAGGCCTTGCATCAACCGGTCTCGCCTAGGCGTATTTGAGACCCTTCCATGGAGGGTGTACCTTTCTTGCTGTGTTGCGGGTTTCGAAGGCGTAGCAGCGAAGACTGGGATGTGTGCCGCAAAGAATGGCAGGTTGTTGCTTCTGTAGGAGGTGACATGTTTCGCTACACCAAGCTAGAACTTGGGACAGTGGTAGCAGGTTGCGTTGACGAAGGAGATTTCCACCGGTAATGTAGAGGGCTGTCGCTTGGCCTGTGTGGTGGCACAGTACACACAAAAAGTGTGTGGGCGCCTCCGTTGACAGACAGGCGTACCTTGGGCCGTGGATCAGCCCGACTGTATCTTGGAGGAGAGGGCACAGTACTCAACTCGAAATATGTGGAGAATTGATCGATTCGTTCTGGCCAGAAGGTAACGGGGAGAAGTTGTCTCAAGACAAGCAATGTCGATCACGCACGCCTTTTTTTTTTTTTGTCTCCCACCTTTGGGCGCTTTCGTCTGCCCCTCTGGCCCCTATCCTCCACTTCTACCAGCTAGACGACCCAACCGGGGTCACATAGGAGGGGGGGTTGGACCCCCTCCTGCGGTTCCTGTCTAAGACATTTTTATCGCGAGAAGGGTACAGCAATCCCTTCCCTCGCGACTTATGAAGTCGATCAAGTTAACTAACAACGAGCTTTGCAGCGCGTCGCTTCCAACGGAGACCAGGTAATTAGCGAGTGTGGGAGGGTGTGCATCCTTTTTGGCCGCATCGCCCAGACTTTTTGTGTGTGCGTCGAACAATGTTCTTCGAACCGCTACTCCCCATTTTGATGTATGATCTGTGGCACGTTCCGCGAGTAAGGCATCGCCTTCTCTCTGCCTACATACTATACTTGGCGCCCTGCGCAACAGGATGCGTTGCTGAAGTACACTGGTTATGCTACTAGCATACGTACTACAAATCGGTGCACGACTCTCTTGTACGAGAGGCCCACCGTCAAGAAATTTGCAGGAAATGCCTGGTACCAACCGCTGCGATCTTGTCACAACCGCATCGCACTCCTGACAAAAAAAAGCACGGAAGGACGGACATAAGGTGACTCGAGAGAGCAGATGGCATGTTTTGCGATAGAAAAGCCTTTCCACCGACCACGCGCGAAAAATGGTAAGTTGCACGTAGTGTTCCTTTCGTTCGTGTGGGATATTTGTTGTGAGATACATACGAAACGCGATAATATTCTCAACCTTTGCACAGTGTCGTTCCAAAGCCTGGTGATGTCTGTCTTCAACAATCGTCATTGGGGCGAGACAACGTGTTTCCAGCCGGGTTTCTCCTTTGCTGGGCTTTTCGAAACTGGAACGTGTAAAAGACACACGCACCCACACCGTTGTTTTGTATCATTAACCTTCGGGAAAAGATCACATCTCGGAATCAAGTACTGGCAGGATTTCGTGCTACAGTATTGTGTCGAGCGCGACTATCCAAACACAACAACAGCAAACAATCTACTAAATAATAAATGTCCCCTGTGTCCTCCTGCGGACAATGATTTCCTCATCGCCCTCGCGTGTTCTTGCAAAATCGATTAGATAGTCTAGCACGGAGAGACGAGGCTCCGTTTCCACAACATGCACTGTAGAGTTTTGTAAACTTTCGTGTACTAGTAAATACCCAGGAACCCTATATTCTATTACGCTAGCTCTACGCCGTGCCATGTCACATGTCAAGGACGACAGCACCAAAGACGAACAATCGCTCATTCACGCCTTCTCGCAGCAGGGCCAACACTTTCGCCCACTCGAAGTCCCAGGGGTGAAACCTTCCCAAGCCCACATTTTTTCACAAATAGGACGATGGCGGCGCTCTGCTTGACTGGAAAATGCACGACACCTTTGTAATACCACACTTCCTCAATTGTTGTGCATGTAAATACCCAGGAACCCTATATTCTATTACGCTAGCTCTACGCCGTGCCATGTCACATTTCAACGACGACAGCACCGAAGACGAACAATCGCTCATTCACGCCTTCTCCCAGCAGGACCAACACTTTCGCCCACTCGAAGTCCCGGGGGTGAAACCTTCCCAAGCCTACATTTTTTCACAAATAGGACGATGGCGGCGCACTGCTTATCTGGAAAATGCACGACACCTTTGTAATAACCACACCTACATGCTGTTTGTTTTCCGCCTTCAGCCCAAGATTCTCGAAAGAGTAATGGAAACAATGGGTGCGTTACTACCTCTACCAACGGCATACATTTCCCATGAAAGCGAAGATAACTACAAAAGGAGGACCGGGGCTTGCCGTGTGGTGACCACGCAGAGCAGACGATGCCATCAGGGGGGTGGAGGCATATGCCCCAAGTCTCCAGGTGTGAAACCACGCGGCATTTACAGGCATAACACACACAAATCAATCTCAATAATATTCTTTCGAACAAAAACAAAACAGTCTACTGAATCGATCTTGTGAAACCGTTCCGAAAATGCTCGAAACTGTGCCATCCGTGTTGAAGAGAGCGAGACAAAAGATGCCCGCAGTTTTCTGATTGGCCTTTTTTGCTTAGAGGAAATTTCTGGGTTGGCGAAAATTCCCTGGTCGACATGTGACGATCTTCGCCGGAAACCCATATCAGCGCAAAGCATTTGGGGGGACGCAAGCCAAAGCATCCCCGGGGTAGGGACACTCGCTGGGGTAGTCCACCGGAATTCCCTTCCCGTTGATATCAATACCCTGCGCGTTTATTCAACAATCATAAAGGGAAACATCGAGCAGAGCGGAGGGTAGGCGGTGAATTCGACTCAAGAGCGGTATGACCAGAATGGGTTAGAATAGATTGTATGGCATGGGAGTTGCCCAGCACCACCCACGACCTCACGTATTTCAACAAGAAAGAGGTCAGAGTTGCCGACAGTTGAGAAGAATGCTGCGCAAGGGGCAAGGGCAAGGTATTCCTCGATGGTGGCGACCATGCCGCTGTCGTCCGACCTCGTGTCCCGCGAAAGACACCCTTACCCTACTTGTTGCATGCACCAGGAATGCAAGCCTTCGAATTGCCAACCAACTACGTTTAGGCTCGGTCTGCTTCGCTGCTGCGAGACACCTATATAACCGCCGATGTCATCCGAATCATTAACAACAACAACAACAACAACAACAACAACAACAACAGCAACAACGACGACAACAACAGCAACCGCTTACCGAAGGGGTCTTGTAGAGACTGACGGTGACAGCCACGCCGCTGCCGTCGAAGATCTGGTTCAAAGTCTGCACCTGCTCGAAGATTGCGCAGGATCGATTGCAGCAGCGCCAGCCGTCACGGTGCCATCCACCGGCAAAACCGACCACATCGGTGTGCATGAATGAGAAGCCGAACACCTCAAGAGACGGGCCAACCAACCTTCACCCTTAGCACGACAAAAAATGATGATGTCAGAGTATCAGAACAAAAAAAAAAAAACGGTCTTCTACACCCGCATCCGGAGTCCAATCACTAGACCCCATTCTGCATCCATGACCGCGATCGGAACTCCTCAATATTATTGGGCAAAAGGGCAGGAAGAAGTTTGCACCACCATCTCCGCGCAAAGCACATGTACGTATGTACATGGATGCATGGATGAGACAACATCTTACAGGCGCGCGGACACATGCCTGCGTTTTCATCCACATCGACAATAACAACAAGAGCAACAGGAACAGCGGCAGCAGCACCAGCACCAGCACCAGTAGCACCAGCAGCACCAGCAGCAGCAAAAGCAGCAAAAGCAACAATGACGACACCAACAAACCTTGGCTTTCCCGAAGGTCTTGTGGCCAGCGAGCTTTGCCCTGCCGTTGTCCTTGAGAGCCGCCGACAAAATCTCGGACGCGCTAGCCGTCTTCTCGTCAACAACCAGAACCTGCACGCGGGAAGCGCCAGCCGACATTGCGGTAGACATCAGTCGGCATGGTGTGGGATATTGCCATCAGCCAATAGGCGCGCGTCGCCAGCTTGCGCGTTTCTTTCGCCCCAAACATTTTCATGAAAAACAGACATCCTCGGGAAAATACCGGGATTGGGCATGCGCCCATGCACACGAACAGAGGGTTGGGTAGTCTGACGAGCCACCATATTTTTCCTTACACGAGGGGGGTGTACTCAACAGTCGTGCATGCCGTAGTTGTTAGACCATTGACCTCGCATCCCTACAAAGCCGGGACGGAGCACGCCGGGTTCCCACCGGATCAGGCTCTCTCATCACCAAGCGCGAAGCGCCGTGAGATATTCGGCGAGTCGCATGAAGGGTGCGCTGCATCCTGCTAAGGGTGTTCGGCATCTTGTGCTTACTTCCTTGCGTACGGATGACAGCTGCGTATGAATTAATTTATTTTCTGGTGCTTTCACTTCCAGAGACAGTTGTAAGCACTGTGTAACTGCCTCGAGGGTGCTTGACCATTTTAACACAACGTGGTGCGATCATCCCCCTTGCGCGGAGTGAGGGTTCTCCACCCCGCACAACATGATCTACTCGACCACCATTATGGTTACCGCCAAAGAAAAAAACCGGAGGTAAAAAAAAAAACGGTAACCTGGTTGCCGAGTTCACGAAGTGAATTGGCTTGTTTCACAACGTCGTTGCCAAGCGACGAAAACCCAACCTCGATGGCAAACACCGGAGGGGGCGGCTTGTTTTACAACGTCGTTGCCAAGCGACGAAAACCCAACCCCGAAGGCAAACACCGGGGGACGGGAGGCTTACATGGAGCGGCATAAAAAAAAATGAACGCAACACGTCGAGGAGCTCCTCTTGGCTGATACGACAAACTTATATGGATGATACAATCAACTCTACGTTTGATACGACGAAAAAGCTTTGCTATTCGAGGAATTGTTGCTGGCTGATTAGACTAACTCCTTAGCTGATTCGACCATTTTCCGTGGCTTGAAAGGCAGGTGGTTTTCCACTTCACAAGTGCCCAACCAAGCACATTTTGGCGGAGATTACTGAGTCCCGAGCAAAAACTATTGGCGATCGACGAGGTAACGCTTTCCATCATGCCTGCAGTAGTTACCGATGTCGACGCAGACAACAACAGTGCCCTTTACCTAGCCTTCACTTGTAGTCTTCGCCGACTCTCACCAGAGGAACCTCCGAGAACTGTCCCGTGGCGATGGCGCCGTACGTGTCGGAGATGCCGTTGCGGTCTACCACGGAGACGATAGTCTCATCCGACGACAGGAAGAGCCTGCTCGCGTGCGTGGCATGGCAAAACAACGAAGAGGGAAACACGTTCGAGTAACACTAAATACAAAACAAAAAAGAGGATCTAGCGCCAGGAGCACGCCCGCATCCTTGTACTGCAAGGATACTGCTGTGCTTACATCCCTGTGTTGCAGGGGATATATGCTTCTTCTGCGGGGAGACATAACCTTGTCTTGCAGGGATATTGATTCTTGTACTGCGGGAAGATGGACTTTTGCACCGCGGGCATATATATCATGGTACTGCGGGGAGATAGGTCCATGCACTCCGGAGTATTGTACTGCGGGGGGACATAAACACCGGCAAAGACTCGTGACTCGAACAAAGACTTCGAGAGCAACTAAAGGGCCTCTACCGTCGACATGCTTTGAAACGATTCAGCGGCAGCGACAACTGTTCATCGCACGCGAGTCAACGGCTACAATTTCGTGTACGGTCCTATCAATCAACGAGCACTTTCCGGCGACAAGCTGTCCTCCCGGCGAGATCAACAAGAATTTCAACCCAGAGGGTATTTCGTATGGCAACGAAAAACACAGCAAAGAAAGCGGCAGCAACAACATCCACAGCAACAGCCACAACGACGACCACAACGACACAAAATAACACTTCGCAACAACAACAACCATCATGACGAAAGCACACACACACTTCGTACGATCCATAACCGTTTGTTGTGTGCTCGCCTAGGTAAAGAGGTCTATACACAGGGCAAGGCTGCGGCAACCTAGCGCCCGCACCTGGCAACGTCTATCCCCCCCGGGAAAAAGCCTCCCGGGTTGTGCCGCAGATCCAATATAATAGACTGCGCTCCTTCATCGATCGTCCAAGCCACGGCCGCTCTGATTGAAACGAGAACGTCGCCGAGGAAAAAAACACGAGGGGAAGCAACTACCCGATGAGCGGAGAAACGGGACGAGCGTCTTTGCACTATTGCGGAGACACACACAGGATGGGCTGTGGCGAATGACGCGGGCTCGCCGTGCTTTGTTGGGCGCGGGGGATCGTTTACAAAGAGACTGAGGACAAGCAGGCAACGGGAGGGCGAGGATCAGGAGGTTGCTGTTGTTGTTGTTGTTGCTGATGTTGATGTTGATGTTGATGCTGATGCTGATGTTGTTGCTGATGCTGATGTTGATGCTGATGTCGTCAGGGTTGTTGGACAGTTAGATTCCTTTGCCACCACGCCGCCGCCGCTGCCCCCGCTGCTGCAAGCAAATCTAGTGCTTGACACGAGTTCAAAATAGCACTTAAGCACTTGGTCATCACAAATAATCGCGCGTTGCTCAGGCCTCTGACATCACCACCACATTTCCAGCTCTCGCTCGCTAGGCCCATACAGCCTTACCGAACCACATTGGCTGCTACAAAAGCCAGCAGCAGCAGCAACTACTAGCAGTTTCACAAAATAACCCGCGTTGGCTGCTACAACAGCAGCAGCAGCAGCAGCAGCAGCAGCAGCAGCAGCAGAAGCATAGACCAACAGGTTCTTCACCTGACGTCCTCGAACGTATCCTTGGAGAAGACCTTGATCGAGACGATGCCCACCTTCTGGCCCCCGCTACTTCGCACCTCCGACCTCACTCCTTGGTACTGCCAGTTATCAACGTGCCAGAAAAAACAAAAAAAAAAACAAGCGTGGGTTTAATTCTTGCCTTAGCGCAACAAGAACGTGGGGGGGAAACTCGGTTTGGCATTGGTCTTAATGGGCCACGAAGAACGCAAAATCCTTAGAGACGAACGGACTAGTAAAACTGGCTTTGACGCTTTTACTTGTGGAGCCACCCTTCGCGTTGAAGCCCTGCGGAAGGGTCTTCGTAACGGAAGGGTCTCGCCTTTACCAATAGATGATGAAAGAAAAGTACGGATATGTGCAACAGAGTAAAATTCGCCTCTCCCGACCATGCAAAACATGCAAAACATAACGCCGGCTTTTCAAGAGAAAAGCGGATGGAAGATAATGGTTGTAGATTATCCCCAACGTCTCGCAGGCTGTAGCCGGTATCGCGATAGTAATTCTCTCCCGAGCGATGGATGATACGTTGACACTCTGCGGTCGGTGTATTGGACACGTGAAAAACATTGCATCTGTACCCAACGATACAATCATGCCAGCTTAGCACTACTGTCACGTTCTCGTCGGCGAGAGGCAAAATAACACTGGCTTGCCTCCCCGCGTCCATGCATCACCTACAACTAGCTCAACGGATTATCCTTACGCTAGGCTAAATTATTCCCACCAATGCAATGCCTGCGTCGAGGAAGAGCAGTACATTCATCCCACCGCAAATCCCAAAAGTGTCAACAAGCAGTCACCTTGAGGAGCATTACCTTCATTGCACCGCAAATCCCAAAAGTATCAACAAGTAGTCACCTCAAAGAGCAATACACTCGTCGCACTGTGAATCCCAAAAATTACCAACAACGATGCATAGTCACCTTAAACTGTGCCCGCGTGAGAAGGAAGGCGAAGGCCTTGCCCCCCCTCCGAACGTCCAGCCGTACCCCCGAACCCGGGTCCCCCCTCAGCATCCCAGCGACCGCGTCCAGGTCTGCTCCCGAAGCCTGCCAGGGTGTGCAACAACGAACGCTCGTGGGCTCTCTCTCTCTCTCTCTCTCTCTCTCTCTCTCTCTGTCTGTCTCTCTCTCTCTCTCTCTCTCTCTCTCTGTCTGTCTCTCTCTTTCTCTCTCCCTCTCTCCCTCCCTCCCTCCCCCTCCCCCTCTCCTTAACTCTACGTCCTCTCTCTTCACTTCATTTGGGCTCGTCTCTCGCTCTACCTCTGTGTAAACGTCTCTCTCCACCTCTCTCTCGGTGAATGTGTGTGTTGCTCTTTCTGTATCCCGCTCTCTCTACTGTTGGACGTCAAACATTCGTGCGATGCCTGACGTGGTAGAAGCTCAAAAACCTTCCGAGTTCCCCCTCTCACTAGACGGTTTACCTTTACGCGTTCTCTCTCTTGGCAAATAGGAAACCGCGCGTTAGGTGGGGGGTGCTCGGCAGAGTAAACGTATCTCCGGGGCTTCCTAGGGCATGACGCGCGAGGTTCTTGTGGTCTTGCCCGTGTTTCTCACTCGCACCAAGGAAACTGAGTCACTTCTTTTCTGTGCAAGACGCCCGGTAGGGAGCCCGTCCGAGTGACAACGAAAAAACGCACGCGCGGGGACACCGCAAACACGCGCTGCCAGGCGGACACAAGCGAAAGGTAGGCCTCCATTCCCCCCCATCGGAACAAGACCAATTTTTTCAAAAATGCACCCCCCACACAACATTCCCCCCCGGTGTTTGCCATCGGGATTGGGTTTTCGTCGCTTGGCAATGACGTTGTAAAACAAGCCAACTCACTTCGTGAACTCGGCACCTAGGCAACCGTTTGTTTGTTTTACGTGTCTTTTTTTGGCGGTAACCATAATGGTGGTCGAGTAGATCGTGCTGTGAGGGGTCAAGAACCCTCACTCCGCGCGAGGGGGATAATCGCACCACGTTGTGATAAAATGGTCAAGCACCCTCGAGGCAGTTACACAGTGCTTACAACTGTCTCTGGAAGTGAAANTGCGAGGTCAATGGTCTAACGACTACGGCATGCACGACTATGAGTACCCCGCACACACCTCCTCTCCATCCACTGCCGATAACACGTCGCCCGTCAGAACGCCAGCCTTCGCTGCGGGAGACCCGTCTACCACCCCCGCCACTATCACCGAGAGGGGATTGCCTGATGAGGCCGGGGATGAAGCAAGCTCCAGCCCCACCCCAGCCACGCCTCCGCGAGCGAGACCAGTGACTGCGTCGTATTCCTGTGGAGGGCGGGGTGTTGGAGAAGTAACGAAGTGGCAGGGAGGCAGCCCTGAATATGAGCAAGGCGGCGGTCGCGCGATATGATGTGACTTAACAAGAACCAGAGGAACAGCGTAGAAGAGTAACAGCATCAGTAACAACGACAACAGCCACAGCCAGCAACAACAACAACAACAACAACAACAACAACAACAACAACCACTACCTGCGGCGTTAGAAAGCGCGTGTAGGGATCCCCGAGGCCTTTGAGCATCCCCTTCGCGGCGGCGTACGCCTCTTCTTTCCCACGGCGATCTTGCACTTGTTTCAGGACCTGTGGCGTGAACGCGTTACAATTACGAGATCGAGGGAAAACGCGAATCGTCAAGCACGTTGTCGTCTGAGGCTGTTGTTGCTGGCCCGTTGTTGCTACCGTCGTGGCCGTCCTCACCGTACCATTTTTTCTCTGGCCTCTATTTAATTTCTCTTCATCCCTCCTGTTCATAGGCAGAACAACGATTTGCCTACGCCATGAAACTGTCCTACCGGAGGGGGCACAACAAGAACGGCGTAGAGCACCGTCCAACCACCCGCGAAGAGAAGCAACAAAACTGTAATAGTCCACATGAATACTGGGAATGCTACAGTAGCAATTCGCGACAAGATGAAGAGGTGGACCCATTGTTGTTGCTGCTGGTGTTGCTGGAAAACGTTCCATTCCACAAGAACTGAACCCAAGACCAAGGAGAGGGGGAGATACAGTCGACGGGTCTCCAGGATGGGAAATACTGTCTGTCGACCCCCTGCCATCTCGGCACTACGGTGTCAGAGCGGCAGATGCAAAAGAAGGAAATCGAGCACGTGTGTGCGCGCACGCAGGCGCGAAAAACACAAACAGAAATCACAATGGGAAAGGTTTGTTGATCTGCGTTCAGCCCAACAAAGGCATTTGCCCTTCAGTCTGTAGTCCGTCCAAAAAAGGGAGCGTGCCATCGATTGAGGAGAGATGCCGTGAACTCCCTCGCGGGGCAGGGCAACCGCCCCAAGAAAATATGTTACACGTGTGCCGACACGCAGTGTGAGCTGGCTGCTAAAGTGACTACCGTAGGTGACGCAAGATACCACACCCCCTGGACCCATTCGCCTCCCCTGGTGTTTGCCATCGGGGTTGGGTTTTCGTCGCTTGGCAGCGGTGTTGTAAAACAAGCCGATCACTTCGTGAGCTCGGCACCTAGGTAGCCGTTTTTTTTTTTTACGTGTCTTTTTTTGGCGGTAACCATAATGGTGATCGAGTAGATTATGCTGTGCGGGGTCGAAAGCCCTCACTCCGCGCAAAGGGGATAATCGCACGTTGTGTTAACATGTTCAAGCACCCTCGATGCAGTTACACAGCGCTTACAACTGTCTCAGGAAGTGAAAGCACCAGAAGATAAATGAAGTCATACGCAGCTGGCATCCGTACGCAAGGAAGTAAGCACAAGATGCTGAACACCCTTAGCAGGATGCAGCGCACCCTGCATGCGACTCGCCGAATACCTCACGGCGCTTCGCGCTTGGTGATTTGAGAGTCTGATCCGGTGGGAACCCGGCGTGCTCCGTCCCGGCTTTGTAGGGATGCGAGGTCAATGGTCTAACGACTACGGCATGCACGACTATGCGTACACCCTCCCACTGGACCCATTTCAAAGATCGACTACTCACCACGACGAAGATGATGCATAAATGACACGATGCGTATTTGGACAGCTCTCGGTTAGATGGCTTTAATGCCGTCTTTTTCGGCTCTGCCACGTATCGTGCTTAGGAGAAATCGAGCTTTGAAAATCGGTTCAGGGGGTGAATGTCACCTGTGGTACGTATGGGCTCGAGGAGAAAGGAAGCAAGGGGGCATCGGTCGTTACCTTCAGCCTCACTGCCTTCCAGTCTTGGCCGTTGAACGTTGGGTCCACGTAGGCTGCGTTGACCACGCGCCAGACGTCATTGACGACATCCTGCGTGCACAGAGAGAGCGAGGGCAAGGACGGAGGGGCGGGATGTTCTGCAACGTAGACATGTTTTCATTGGTCAACCTTAATTTATGAAACACACAACGAGAGAGAGAGAGAGAGAGAGAGAGAGAGAGAGAGAGAGAGAGAGAGAGAG